GAAACGCCGGCTTCGTGTGGATGAGAGGCTGGTTTGGTGAAAAATTTGTGCGTTTAGGCCAGGGTTCGTCTTCGTGTGGACGGGGCCTAAGTTAGTTGGGTTAATCCAACCAGAAAGGGCTGAGCTGTTAACATGTCCATGGTAGAAAATATTAAGCTGCATATTAGAGTAACAGATTGTTTTGCTGGATTTTTTTTTTACTTATAAGTAATGAAGCGATAAATCTGCAGAAAGGACTAGTTGTTTTATACAGTAGATCAATCATGAGAGCAATCATTGATATAATCAATATGTGGACATATTTGGAAGGAAACTATTAAACCAATGGCGGACGGACTCGTCTCCAAGCACAGATGTCAGGATTCTAGTGACACGTTAGCAATTATGCAGGTTGTGTTTTATAGTTAATAAAACAAATCTGGATGTTTCCATGGCGATGACAGTCATTCTCTGCTTTTTTCTCTGTGTTCCTCTGCTGTCCCATTTAAACCATTGTTCCCAACAGGAGCTGTGATGATCGACAGTTCTAAAGTCTGGCCTATGATCAGGATCTACAGAGGAGGTTTCCTGTTAATCGAGTTCCTCTTCCTTTTAGGTAACGCATATGTTCACTGCCTCATCACACTAAAACACTTTAACGCTTGGTTCTGTTCTACCCTTTGAATCCATCCATGGAGTCTCATTTCATCCGCTGTGTCCAAACAAATCATGTGACCTCTATGCTTGTCAGTCCTATGATGTTAAACTTTTACACAGTGAAACTAGTATAAAGTTTCCAGGAATGTGTCCATGCTTAAAAAGCCACCTTTGCATATAAAAAGCTTTTTAAAGCTTCAGTGTATCTCTGTGGCCAGATCCTCACAATAATTATGAAATTATTTCTTGTGTTTGCCGTTTAGTGATCCAGATTGTTCTCATGAATTAATCAGTCATTCGATAGATCCTTATAATACTGAACTAATTAATACTAAATAATATTTTCGAGTTCATAAGCGGTAGAACGCAGATATCACATTTAGGCTACTTATTTATTAGCTGCAAGTGAAATGGTTATTGTTAGGATTTCTAAATTGATTTTGTAACATTTTTTTAGGTACCGTGTGTGCCTCACAGATGCAGTCATATTCATTTAATCATTATTCCTTTTTTTTTTTTTTATAGTAATGGGTTAGTGAGGCATCTTTGTTTCATCACATTGCCAAACTGTACTGATGCTGCATTCGTACTGTCTCACAATACTGACACCTGCTGGCCCTTTAAAGACACTACAGGCAGCTTATTGGACAGACTAAACTGAATTGATTTGATGACCTAGAACAATTAAATTATTTAAGTTATTGTAGGTTATGTTGTATTATTTCATATCTATGTTTAAATTGAAATTGAAATTTAGATGCATCAATAAATAATGTAAACATATAACATGACGTGAGAATTTAGGGGAAAAAAAATGTGCATGAGAATGATTGTGGACTAGAATTTTAAATAATATTTTTAAAACAATAAGTACAGTAAATACAGTAAATAAACCAAGAGTCAATTTGAAATTAACTTTAATTCAGATAAGCTGAGTGATGACTGAGAGGAAAAGTATGACACAATGAGAAAATAAAAACAACGGCTGAAACCTTCCTATTCCTTTTAGGCTGCTTCAAAAATATTGATAATTTTAATGATGAATCGCAAAAGATGAGACTTTTTTCATCATGTTGACAGATACGTTTTTAAACACAGTTTAGTGACTCAACTCCTGTATCGGTCACATGACTTTCCTGAAATGACACGCGCACCGATGCAGTGTTTTGCTCTTTGGGCTCCATGCATGCACCGATGCGTCGGTGTTGCTGGACCCGTCAACAGTTTAAATACAACAATCAATGAATGTGGATCCACAGATGTTGTAACCTTGTGCCGCCTGCAGCCGTTCTAGTTAGATAATAGTTTGTGGTAATAACAGCTCCAGCTGGTCTGTTTTTATCTCCTCCCCCCACATGAAACAAAGGCCTGTATTGCTAAAGCAGTTACCATGGAGGCTGCTTTAAAGTATGAAGCTTATAAATGTGGTAATGCTGCTTTGCAAGCAAAACACGATCGCACAGACTGAGGTTCATTAGACTGGACTATAAGACAATAACTTAACCTGTGTTTTAAAATCTTCTCTTTTCTCACCTCCAGGAATCAACACCTACGGTTGGAGGCAGGCGGGAGTCAATCATGTCCTCATATTTGAGCTCAATCCCAGAAATAACCTGTCCCATCAGCATCTGTTTGAGGTTAAAGCTCTCGCTCACAGCCAATCAGAGCCTGTTTATATGGCCTGCATGTTACTGAAGGTTTTCAGATTTTTACTGACTCATCATATCCTTGTGTGTTGATGCAGATTGCAGGTCTGTTGGGGGTGCTGTGGTGCGTCAGCTTGCTGTCGTGTCTCTTCTATAAGAGCATCTTGGTTCCGATGCAGGCCAATCCTCTGGCTCTTTATGGTGTCTTCTTCCTGTTTCTCATCAACCCTTCGAAAACCTGTTACTATAAATCCCGTTTCTGGTTGCTCAAACTGCTGGTAAGACCTCCCTATTAATAGATAAATAGATCCAACTTGTATGGAGCTTTTCTGGTCAAAATCGATACTCAAAGCGCTTCATTACTACAACTACATTCAAACAACCGATCTCTTAATGGGTAAACCTACAAACAGATAAGCAGATTGGTAGGCAGCTCAAGGTTATGGGCCTTTCCCTGAGGCACATCGACACTGACCCACCAGGTAAATATTTGACTGAATATGGGTCAAAGGTCTGGTCAGCCATTGCTGACTTGTTCTAACTGGCAACAGACTAATAGTTCTTTTCTTTTCATTTTTAACATGTCCTGTTAATTCCATTATAGCTCTGAGAACTAATGGATGATGCCCCCACACATTTGCCTTCACAAGGCGACCATTATGGCTGTTGCCATAAGGTTCTGCTTAGTAGGTGTGTTTGAAAATTTGTTAGAAGTGGTTTGGGGGGAAAAAACGTATGCATATTTTAGGGATTTTAACAACACTTTATTTACACAATTCAAGCTATAGAACCAATTTTTGATGTAAAACAAAGTCAAAAAATCACTGTTAAGGTAAAAGCAAGTATCAGCTAAAAATCATTAAAAGGGGAGCTTGTTTAACTGTAGTTGTCCATCTGACACAGTACATTACTGCAAAAAAATCTAAATCTAGATAAGTCATTTTTTCTTAAAATAAGTGCATTTGTTCTTGAATTGAGTAGGTAAAAGATACATTTTGCCAATGGAACAAGACAATTTACACTTAAAATTAGAAAACACAGTTGAATTCTCTTATTTCAAGTGCATATTATCTAATTATCTTATTTTAAGAGTAAAAATACTCCTTCCATTGGCAAACTATCTAATTTACCTACTGAAATTAAGGGTGAATACACTTAATTTAAGAAATTTGTACTTATTTCTAGCTCGTTTTTGCAGTGATTAAATGTTGTTAAAACCCCACAGCTGAATAAAATCCTCCATGTTCTGTGTGGCTCTGTGGAAGCGAACCTCCAGTCTTATTCTGGCTTTAACGTTGCACTTCCACAAAGCCACGGCATCAAGGTGAAGTCCCTCCTGCAGTCTGTCTCTGCGGGACAGGTTAATGGCCATCTTTGCTTTGCTGTTTAAAACATTTAAAAGTCGGGCCTTTGGCTTATTTTTCCTATTCTGGCAAACTCCTCCTATAAAAAGAGCATTTGTAAAAACCGTCCCAGAAAGACTAAAAACAACAATTAAAAAGCTAAAAATTGTCTTTAGCCTTAAGTTTTTCCTTCCAGATGCAGACCTGCCGGTCCTGAAGATGTCTTTGGTTTATTGCTTTTGTGCAGCTATGGTAAAAGGCTTTCTGGTAAATATTCCATAAAGAGAAAGAATGAGAGAAGGGGAAAAAAACTGAAATATAGCCTGAATCAGTCCTAGAATTCTTCTTCCATACCTGCAAGAAACCAGGTTTAAGAAAAGAAAAACAAATGCAACAAGCAGATCTGTTTACATTCAATAAACATGCCGCAGCTCTGGTGAGAGGGATTTATACATCAGACATTTACATGTTGATCTTCATTATTTACTTTCATGATTTCTGTTGCACTGGTGACATCATCATTGCTAACAGCGTGATGGTGTCACCAGACATGCAGCGGCTGGGGGGCAGAGGCCACGCAACTTGCCAACAAGGAGTTAAGCTTTGTTTATACTCAGAAAGAGGTGTGTTGCAGTTAACGCATATATGCCCCCCTACTTCCATAGACAAAATTGTAGGTGACTGCAGACAGATAGCGTCGCAGGGAGGACAGAAAGGAGGCCTCTAAATGGTCAATTCTACATCGGCTCTACACTATGCGTATTTCCTGTTTGGTACCTAATGACAGGAACTCTGGCTGTAGTGCCGTCCACAATGCCTGGCACACCAGGCACGCCTGGCTAGTTTGTAGGTCTGGGTGACAATCTGTTGGTTTGCACCCAAAGCTAAAACATGCAGCGGCCAGTCTTTCGGGAACACTCCAGGGTAAACTGTGTGACGTCCAGCGTTGGATGAGGGGTTGTAGACGGCGAACAAGCTCATCAAACCGACATACAGACATCAACAATGCTACTTAGTTTGTGATTGTCCCTCTTGCGTTGTGGCGTGGCATGACATAGCACAGACCACACTTCAATATTGGGCATAAATCAAAAATATCTGCGTCATACCTGCGTCAAGTTAACTGCGACATACTGCTGCGGGAGTATAACCAGCCCTTTAGACCCAGCTTTTTTGCCAGTGGAAAGGGGGCATCGCAGGGTAACAAAAGAAGCCAAATGATCCCCCTTCCAAAGGGCTGGACCCATTGCATGTTCTTTAAAGGCTTCGTTGGGCTACTGTACAAGAGCCTCAAACTCAACGCTTTTTCTGACATTTTGAATTGAAAGGGTAGCCTGACGTAGTCCGACTCAATTCTAGTCAGAATATGAGTCTGATACTGCTCCATAGAGCTGTGATTATGGGGCGTGTTTCGAACGAACCAGGAAAAAAAATGCCTCTGCACTCAATTGGATAGACCTACAACCAATAAGAGCAACGGAGTGCGTGACGTATGTTAAGCCACGCATAGTTGTTGTCAACAAAAATCAAAGCGTGCAGTTGCACGCCTAGAATAAGAAGATGAGACTTGATCGCGTTTCTCTGTTCCTCTTTTAAAATTAATTTGCTGTCGATATCTTCTGGAACAGACCTAATAGCAGAATCTACTCACCCAAACTCTCCGGCGGCAGCCATTATTGTTGTCACCCAAGCGCGCTTTGGTCACGTGGTTGATTACGTTACTGTTGATCATCTGTCCATCATCGTATAAAGCCCGCCCTGACAATTTGATTGGATCGCCTGACAGTGGGCGATAATACTCGCGCTACTATGGAGCAGAGCCAGACCGAACTTCCCCGAACTCAAACCTTGTGGGCGGGACTAAGTTCGGACTGGCACCCAGGCTATTGAAAGGGCTTCCTGGGGGAAGCGAAACGTCTTCAAACTTGGAAACAAAGTCCAGTGGATTGTTTTTTAAGTGTTTTGGGAATACCTCACCCTTACAACTCTGTGCTCTGTCTGTCTGCTCCTCTCCTCAGTTCAGAGTGGTGACCGCTCCATTTCATCATGTTGGATTCGCAGACTTCTGGCTGGCTGACCAGTTAAACTCTCTGGTGGTGGTTTTGATGGATCTGGAGTACATGGTTTGTTTCTACAGCTTTGAGATGGACTGGACCGAGCCCAATGGGCTTTTCATCAACCCAGGTGAGATGTGTAGAACCAAGCATTGGTGCAGCACCTTTCAAAGCTGGAAATATCAATGGCTGATGCTGTCTTTCTGTTCAGAAAAGGCATTTTGTAACACCTACACGTACGGCCTCCGGGCCGTGATAAAGTGTCTCCCTGCATGGTTCCGGTTCGCCCAGTGTCTTCGCCGTTATCGGGACACCAAGCGAGCCTTTCCTCACTTGGTCAACGCCGGGAAGTACTCCACTTCATTCTTCGTGGTCACCTTCTCAGCCCTGTACAACACACACAAAAGTAAAGTGGACTTCGGTTTGACTCTGTTTGACATTATTTTAAGGCAGATACCTGTTTATTTAAACCTGTCTGGAGCAACCAGAATATAAATCTTTCTGATATCTTATAGAAATATGTTTCTTTCCATACATTTCTATTGTCAGACTTCATTTCTTGCTAACATGTTTTATCCCCCATGAAATCCGTTAAATCTGCAGCCACCACATTGTTTGCCCTATCACCCCCACCCCCACCCCCATTAATTCATCCCCTCATCTTTCCATGTATCCTGTGCTCCATCTTTCTATCATCCATCCATCTGTTTCTTCATCCATTCATGTCTTTATCCAGTGGGTATGGACTAGAGATTTATCCATATGGGTTTTTAAGGCAGATTATTTTGACATCAGTTCAAGGCTACCCAATCCTTTTTTTCTGCTTGTTTTAATTTGTAACATTGAATGTGATAAATGTGCGAATTTTATTATCTAAAGCAAAGACGCGCATCAGTCTAATTAATGGTTCATAACGAGAAACAACGGGTGGATTGCAAAAAGAAAAGAAAATTATCTTTCTTTTCCTTTTTTATGGGAATAGATTTCCCAGAGCTTGATGATAAACCAACAGTTTTGGTTTCACAAGCAGACCAGTGTGACTGTTGCCATAAGGTTCCACTTAATACTTGTATATAAAACTTTATTCAAAATGATTTGGGAGTAAAAGCATTTGTTACAGAGACGAAAAGGGAGGTGACAAAGAAAGAAGGAATAAGAACTAAAGCCCCTCTCACACCTTGATGTTTTAGACGAGCTTCTGTCTGATGTCCGTAAAATCTGTCAAAAACGCCGGCATACGCTGGACAAGTTATGGGTACATTTTGTTTAAGTTATGAGCACGCTGAAACACGCTGGCAAACGTCCAACACGCATGTTCAAAATTTCCCCATGTATGCCAGCATATGCCATATAAGTAGGTTATCTGATCGTTGGCATACGTTAAGTGTTAGTTACTCATAAGTCGTGGCGTCCAGCTTATCCAAAACCTCTGAGTAACTTCTCCTCCAGACTGCACCCCCATCATAGGGTGAGCAAGAAGGTGAGTGTGATGTATCCTCCCTGCGTTCACGTCCACGACCAACAATCTTCCTAGCAGACATGACTCTGAATCTGCTGCGACTGCAAACCTTCTTTCTTTCTTTTTCTTTTTATTCTGTTTTTTGGGGGGCTGGCGGTATGTATGCCAGCGTTTTAGGAGATTCTGGGACGTCGGGCATACGCTGTCTAAATCGGCAAGGTGTGACGAGGCCCTAAGGGGAGAAAGAGAGATAGACAGGAAAGAGTGCATGGAAAGGGAAAAAATTAAAGACAAAATGGCAAAAATAGACAAAACAAAAGATATACAGTAACGGGTGTGCAGGTGGCTCAGTGGTTAGTGTGCACCACCCATTGACGGAGGCCTTACTCCTCAACGCAGCCGACCCACGTTTGAATCCGACCTCTGGTCCTTTCCCGCATGTCTCTCCCCCTCTCTCATCCCCTCTTTCTTGTCAGCCTACTGTCGAAAAAACGAGCCACTAGTGCTGTAAAAAGTTTTAAAAAAATAAAGGTTTACAGTAACTGCTAGAAGTCTGCTTCCATACCTGTATTAGATGAGTGGAACAAATAATAAAGAACATAAAAAAAGAAGAAAACAGACAACTATAATAAACAAAAAAATAAAAGCTTCCAGAGCAGCAGGTATCCCTTAGATATCCATGTGTGTCGGAGTCAGAACCTACGGTGATTAAACAATATTAATCAAGGTGGTATATATCTATAGCTGCAGCTTAATATTTAGTATTAGTGTGTTTCTGTGAACTGCTGTAACCAAAATCCTTGGATCTGTTCATATATACTTTAGACAGACTGATGAGCAGTGCTGCTGCTAATACTCATGTAATATTGTTGGGGTTTTTTCGAAGGAGAAATTTCTTTTATTTCCTATAATTTCTGTAATATTTATCCCATGACTGACCGCCGTATTCCTCCACAGAATCCAACCTGGAAAGCATCTTCTTATACTTACTCATCGCCTTTGCAACTGTAAGCTCTTGTTATACTCTGATTTGGGATCTGAAGATGGACTGGGGCTTGTTTGACCGCAATGCAGGAGAAAACACCTTCCTGAGAGAGGAGATAGTCTATCCACAAAAGGTATTCTTATGCAGAGTCTGGCTGATCTGCTCATGTATAGATTGACTGAAACCTGTGTTTCCTCCCTCCAGGCTTATTACTACTGTGCCATAGTTGAAGATGTGCTGCTGCGTTTTGCGTGGATCCTAACAGTCACTCTCAACTCTCTCACCTCGGTGGAAGGCGAAATACTGGCTACTCTGCTGGCTCCGCTGGAAGTCTTCAGGTGCATAAAGCATTTCCCCCTTTTATTATCTATGTTTCCAGTTTCTCCCTCTTTCTAAATCCAAAGGAAAGTACTTTGCTGTTGTTTTAGTTTTCAGTCTCATCCGCCTTGTTCTGAAATGTACTTTGCTTAACTACCGCAGATCAAAATTCACACTGCAAATATTTAAATATGAAATAAGTGGATTATAAGAGATTTTTTCATTATTTAAGGAGGTAAGAAGATTTGCAAATGGAATGGCACTATAGACATTTAGAAAAAGAAAAAACAACTTGAATATCTTATTCAAAATCCTATAATAATGATCTTATTCAAGAGCTCATTCCATTGACATATTGTGTTGTTTGTGTTCTTAGATGAAGTGCTGAAGCACATGTGGCCGATCCAGTTCTATTGTTTTACTGGAGGGTTGTCTTGTTTGTCCATTTAAGTTAGAAACAAATCATAAGGAGAAAACAGTGAAAACATGAAGCCTTCTTTATAGGTTAGGAATGTTATGCAAAGCAGGATTTCAATTTTTTTTTTTTTCATGTAGGGTGGAAATTAGATTTAATGTTTGTAAAGAATTGGTTTACTTCTTTAGGAGGCGTTAGAGCTATTGGACATCAGGCAGATCAGACTTTATCACACTGTAAGAACTAATCTAATTACAAGTAAACATTTCTTTAAATTAGCATCCTTGATATGAATTTGAATATTTAAAATAAGATTCTCTGTAAATAGAGTTTTTTTAATGCTTAAAATAAGGGAATGGGATATAAAGCACTTGAAAGGTATATATGGATTTTTTAGGTTAGTACGTCCACTGCTTGTGAAGTTACCTGTGAAACGTCGTCCCACAGCCGGCAAGCTGCTTGTTTTTACAGCCAAATGCTACAGATGTGGGCATTTCCACTGCCTGTGTCTGTGGGAGTGGGGAGTACCAGCATGGTGGACGGTGGCTTCACTTTTTACGACCAATCAGCAATCCAGTCAATAAATAGAGATCAGTGGGTAACTGTAGTACACTAAGATAAAATGGATCATACTGTAAAAATAAAAAAAAACATAACTTCCTTCAATAGGAGTCTAAATAATGATGGTGATGTTTGTCGCTCCAGTTTTGAGTAAAATCGTACTGAAGTTGAGTGAATTTTTTTTTTTTTTTTTTTTTTCGGTTCTGGCAAACGTCCAGAATGGGACACCAAATCAATATGAAGCTGCTGTTTACTGAATGAGTATTTGTTTTTGTTTTTTATTTTTACTTTGTGTAATTTGTTTTTTAAAGCAAAACAATTAATTTGACCTTATTTATTTTGTAATAAAGGAAGGAACCGTACTCCTATTCAGCCGCCGCTAACGGCTCGTTTTATTTTCTCCAGGCGCTTTGTGTGGAATTTCTTCCGACTGGAGAATGAGCATCTAAATAACTGTGGTGAGTTCAGGGCTGTCAGAGACATCAGTGTGGCTCCGCTCAACGCCGACGACCAGACTCTGCTGGAGCAGATGATGGATCAGGAGGACGGCGTGAGGAACCGGCAGGGCAAGAAAAGCTGGAAGAGGAGCTACAGCATGAGTCTGCGCAGACCACGCCTGGCCTCCCAGTAAGCACCCATCGGGGACATCTACCTGATTACTACCTCATTCCACTATCATTAGGGCTGAATGTATGGCAAGAACTAAACAATGTAATTCTGATAGAAATATAAACAGTACAAAAACACGAGGAAAACAACCTTTGCCTGTCAAAGAAACTCCTCCCACAAAACATTTTTAAAAATAAAACACCTAAAATATTTTTATGTGGACTTAAAAGCTCAACAGATGAAATGCAATGTTTTTGATGGTTGAAGGAAAGGCAACTGAATATAAAATAAACTCAATTATTTAAAAATATAACTGTTCACTTCACCATTTAACTGAATTCAGCATCGCCATCAATAAAAATCATTTATTGAATTACGTCTAGAATTAGTATTCCAGTCATTCATTCAGTTCAATGGGGCTCATTTGGCTTCTTCTAACCCCAATAGCCAATAAGAGGATCCTTCTATCTGGGGACCAAAGCATTTGGCTACGCTAAATTACTGCTGAAATGTTAACCGTGCAAAAATACAGAGAAATTTGGCTGGAGATTCAGTCTGCCATGTTTGAATAAAATAGGATTTCTATTATATTGAATAATTGTTTTGTCCTTATGATATATATTTTTGGACTGAAACGTATTTTACTTGTAGTCAGAATGAAGTGGTCAATCTCTAGGTTTTGTCTTCAGTGTTTTTCCTGCAGGTTGAATTACTCCTAGATAACTGGTACTAGTTAGATCAGAGGTGACAAGTAACAAAGTACAAATACTTTGTTACCTTATAAATAATAATAATTAAACTTTATTGATCTCCCATTGGAGAAATTTACCGATTTATCCTCTCCCTTTGGGGAGCAGTGGGCTGCCGTCGAGGGGCGTCTGGGGAGTATTAAGGGTCTTTCTCAGAGAGCCAGAGAGGCAGTCAGCCGGAGTGGGGCTCAAACTCACAACCTTCTTACATTTTAAAAATAGACTAGTTTGTTTTCTTTATTGAAAAAAAAAAAGATGAAAATAATTTGCTTCATCGAGAGAATTCATTTCTTTCTGGTTGGACTCGGTGCTAAACCAACTTGTTGTTCACCACATGCCAAAGGAAATAGTTTTTCATGATGATGCAAAGTTAAATTTGACTCTAGTCAGACATTAATTATACAAAGTAAGAAAATTAAATATTAGGAAGTTGTCATTCGGAATTTTATAAAAATTTTCCTTTAATAGGCTAGTGCAGTAAAGCTTCTGCCCTTAACATGCTTTCCTGCTTTACTTTGGCTTTTATACTTAAAATAGTTTTAAAAAAGGTACTTTAACTCTTTTACTTCAGTAAAAAACCACAGTTTACTTTAAGTTGAATCTTAAGTTCTACAAAAGTGTTGGATGGAACAGATGGATTTCTACTTGAGCACTAAACATTAATACTTTTGACACAACTGAGTTAGAAGTGGATCATTTCTGAAAAAATCAGACAGAGAGAAAGGATCACGGTCACTAAACCATCACCACTAATGGTTAGTAAAGTTGTTTTTTATGTAAAAGAATGTTTTATGTATGTATTGAAGGCCTTTATTTCCTGCCTCTTAATTCCAGGTCAAAAACCCGCGACACCAAAGTCCTGATCGAGGACACGGACGACGACTCCTGACATCAGGCCACGCCCCTCGCCTGGGTCCACAATCTGTTCAAAGGAGGAAACTCTGCCTCCTAAAGAAGAAATCACCTGGCGAGTGGGCGTTCAGCTCCAGTAAGGACCAGCTTTGATCTCTGGATCCTTTTTCCCACCTGCGAGCCTCTGCTGGGCTTCTGAATTATTTCAAGGGAAGAATTTTCACCATTTTCTGAACTTTTGAACCAGCTCTGCAGCTCCCCCTCCGTACTCCGAACTCTACTCTTGCTAACCTGATGAGTGGGTGATAATCCTTCCTGATGATCACCCAGCAGCGGACTCCTCAGAGCCTCAGCATGAACAACGCAGCTAAAGAAAAACCAAGCAAACTGGCCTCTCATATAGTGTTACTGCCCCCTTTTCAGTGCCACAGATCTCTGTGGGATTCCCACACTCAGAAAGGGGCGTCCAGTGACACAGAGTCCCTCTGCTGTAGAGCGCAGAGGACAGAATCTCCCTTCTCCTTATCTCCTCCATCATGATGCAGCAGACGGTACTGATCAACATATACGGCGAGGCCGAGAAGTCATTCCCCGTATCGAATCATCCCATCTCCTCATCACAGAGATGCCTTCTTGCACCTTAGACGCTTTGGAAAAAACCAACATGCACTTTGTAGAACAGGTCAATAGAAACTCTTTACATCCACTAAAGCAGTGATGATAGTTCAACTTCTCTGCATGTACAAAGAACCCCGAGTGATGATCAACACATTTTCCATTTTTAGAAATGTTTTTTTAAGTATTCATTTAGTGACTTTCTTAAAAAAAAAGGTCAGAAATGATCAAGTGGTGGGTCTGACTGCATAGAACAGTAGCTGGAAGGACAAAAACAAACAATGAAAATGCCGCAGCTCTTCTGCCGCTAGGAGACGGTTCTTTTATGCACGAGTGTGACAGAAAGCAGCGCCCCCAGAAAAGCCCACAGAGCTTCTGAAATCTTCGATTCAACCATCCAACGGTGGAAACTGAGGACTGTGGAGGAATAGGGGGGGAAATCATTGAAACAAAACTTCCAGCAATGGTCATTATTAATTTGAGGAGGAGGAGGGGTCACCTGTCTGCCCCTTACTGATTTACTGCTCCAACATCCCAAAACATTAAAGCCGCAAACAGAAGCTTCAACAGCAGAAGCAAAGGGAAGGAAGGAAATCTAGCTTTGAAATGACTCCAGGTTTGACTGGACGCAGGGCAAATTACACAAAAGTCAATGATTTCAGGTCATTTTCACATAAAAATCAGAGGTTTATTTTGCTTACATTCCAATAAAAGTTGCCAGATTTAGTTTAATGTCCGTTTATTTTTCTAAAAGCACAGTTAAAAGCTCTCCATTTGGACCTAAATGAAATGAAATCCTTTTGTTATTGTATTTTTCGTTCAGATTTAAACCTGTGATGTTAAAGGAGGGTTACTGTAATTATGTTCCCAGATATAAATCAAGATGATATCAGCTTTTTATTGCCAATGAACTGATCTAAAGTTGTCGCTCTTTGCACGTCTCTCAGGCTTTGTTTAGAGTAGAATTGGAACGTTTTTTTGTGTGTTTCTAAATGTGTTCAGATTCCAAAATGATAAGTTATGGCTGAATAACAGGGCAATAGAATCCAGAATAATGCGGGACCATTCCTCAAGGCTCAGCAGGACTTTTTAATGGTTATACAGCCTAACCACTGTTAGTAGAGGACCTGTTACAGTAGCAGCCGTTCAAAATGGCCCTTCCCAGTCAAACCCCATCCCAATGGCAGCACACTCCTCTCCAACTTCCAGCTGCTGGAGTGATTCCCCTCTTGCATATTTTTTTACTCTGACTCCCCCCTTTCATTGAATTACAGCGTCTGTCCAGGAGAAGATGCTTGTCTTTAGATCTTAATGTCCAGAAATCATGATCAATATTTTATTACAAATATTGATGTTTAAAAAGGAAGTGAAGGGGGACCAGCCAAGGGCCCATCAAGGAAAGTTGGGACATTTTGAATGGCTACTACTGTCTATGTTGAACCAGGTGTCTGCAAGTATAAGATCCATGAAGCCGGATGGAAACCAACCTTTCTGGGAACTTTGACTGTGGGAGGAATGTTAAATGAGTTTTGACCAACATGCTGCTGTAGCTATTTCTATAGTGGCAGTGCCCTGCTGTCAGACTCTTTACTGGAAGCTAGCTGTGCTAATATCGCACACCAGGTTGGAAAATCAGACTTTCTTTCTTTTTCTTCTTCATCTTTTGATCTTGAACCATCTGTTTGTTTAGCAGCAGTGAAACCTGACCTTTTTTTGTGGTAGTTTCTGGAAGGATCCAAGAGAGAAACCTTAGAAAGGTTTTTGGTTAATTATGGTTTGTGTCTAACGTCTTAAATACGGTTATTGTTGGTTTTTAATTTGTTGAGCATGAGGAAGGAAGCCCCTTAGTTTTCTTAACGGGATCCAGGACTAGTTGAACATTTCGGCCTAAAAATTCTGGTGATCTTTCATTCATTGGAACTCGTTATATATGTGAGAAAACGTTTTGATCCTGATGCTAACTGGAGCTTTCTCTCCACCTGGGTTAGCATCTCCTAGCAGCACAAACATCAGCATCTTCAGCCAACTCTCCCCTCTTCCTCATCTTCATCACCTCTCATCATTTCTATATTCTCCACATGTTCTGGTTCAAACTGAAAAGGATTAACGTGACCGTTTGCGGTTTTAGTTTGATTGAGCTAGCACTACAGCACCTAGCATATTTCATTTACCCATAATACATTGCAGCATAAACATTGTTGACCATATTTTATTTAAAGGTATTTTTAAAAAGACCTGCCCTCTCCACTTAAAAAAAAAAAAAAAAATGCACATGCACATCCCTGTTACAGCTCCCGAGAGGGAACGCCTATCAAAGAGCGTGCATGAGCCCGTTTCTCCTCGTGCACACTCTGTTTAAAAGTTGCTGTTTGCATAACTCGTACAAGCTTACTTTTTAAAAGACTCACCACTGGTAAGTGAAAATGAGGATTAGCACGTAGGACGGCCTTATGTAAACAGATCACCAGAATGACCTTTTCTATTAACCTTTTCTATTTTTACATACATATATCCTGATCCTACTTATTGTTGAAAGTGGAAAGTTTCAGGGACACCCCAGAATGTTTTGTAATTGTACGCGTTCCCACCGAACCTAAAGCCGATGGTTTAGGGTGATGAGTGCAGGCAGATCCATCACCTGTTGGTTTGGAAGCAGCTGCCGTGTCTGTGTGTGGTGAACCCAGGGAAAATGAGGCTTATAGGACGGACCGCTTTTGTTTTGATCATGGAAGGTTTGTTAAAAAAGCCATATTGTTAGAGAGAAGCATCTCTCATTAGGACAGCAGGTTTTTTGTTTTTTTCCTCCAAGATATTTTCAGCACATTTGCACCTTTTCCTGCCGATCCCAAAGCATCGCAGCAGCTTCTGACTGCTGTCTAGTCAGCAGCCATTGATTCCTGAACGTACTGTGAATGTATGGGGTTCAGGAATTCTCCTTGCTCGGGTTCGGCCATGTGTACACTGTTTTTAACATTCCATATATTATCTGACCAACAGCAGGTAAAGAATCGCACCGCTGGCTCAGACAGGTGAACTCAGCCTCCCTTTGGTGTTCATATAAGAATCTGCTTAAATCCTCCAACTCTGATGAGTTCTTTATTATTTGTGATTTTTTTTTTTACTTGTTTTTATTTATTAACAGATCCAGAGTCCCTTAAAATAACAGACTTTTAAAAATGTTTGGAAGAATCTTAATCTTGTCTTGAAGGGCGGGACTTCAGGGACCAAAGCCTGGGTTCTTTCAGAAAGTCTTAGAACGTCTGTGACTCTGGAACGGCTCCCTTCGTAGCAACAGGTTCCAACCAGCTGCTCTGGAGGCGATCGGAACAGCAGTTTAGGAGAAGAGGTCAAACGCAGGAGTCACAACCTGCAGAAATGTGTGTTGTTGTTTTTTTTTTAAGAAATCCAATCTTTGGTTTTCTGTTTTTATTGTTCGTCTCCAGAATCCTGGCATTACTTTGGACTGAGCGAAAATTCCAGTGAGGTTTTCCATGTGCATCAATCGGTGATCAGGGTTCTTCTAAGGCCTTAGCCCACGGCTTTAGGCTCAGTTCTTCGGGCCAGCACCTTCCTTTCCTTTCCACCAGTCTCTCCCTAAGACTTAACTTTTTCTTTTTTCCCGAATTGTTTACTCAGTCTGTGATGACACTGTGGTAACATCAACCTTCTGAAAACAGTTTCATATATACATCGGAGAATGAAGTTACAAACTGCCTCTTTGCTGTCATTTTACTCCATGAGCCCTTTTTTTTTTTTTTAGGTTACTGAGAGTTCACTCTTCTGATGGCTGTAAAATATCTGAGAATGGCTTTTGATGTCAAAGATTGGAACCACTGTAGACCAGAAAAGTTTGATCTTTTAAAACACTTCTGACCCTGTTGGCCAAACCCCAGGACTCCTGGTTACATATTATATATACTGATGAATAAATGATTGACAACATTGTATAATCAGTGACGGTGTTATTGTTGTCTTGTCTATGTTAGCAGTGTGATGCTACAGGGCTTCCTGGTTCACCAACCTGTTCAAAAGTTTGTAGTAAAAATTGTTAAATCTCTAAATATTGGTTTGGAGTTAATTATTTTATTTTTTAACAATAAAGATAAAATTTATAAAGCAATAATTAGATATCTAACTATATAGATAAGATATTCCTGTGTCTCTCCTGGACATACAGTAGCTATGGGTTGAACTTTAACTAAATAACTGGATGTTCTGCTTTCATCAAGCTGACATGTGGGTCAAAGACTATAAACCAACATGAGGAGGAAAGCTTAAACTGATCTACTTGGACAAACAAAACCTTCAGAGGAACAGCTGTGTGTATAAATGAACATCTGAGAAAGAACTGAAATAGCAAGGTAAGCGTCTCTGGGAGGAAAGATGGAGTCAACATGGACAAGAAATGCCAGGAGTGGCTAAAACTGCTTGGTTCACCAGGAGAAGTTGGACTGGTGCTGATAATGAGGAACTGGACAAATTCAAATGACCGTCACCATTCCAAAATAACAGCATAATGTTCAATAGCATTAAAAGATTAAAACAGGCCATAATGAATCACTGCTTCCATTCACCCAGAAAACAATCATTTTAACAAAATAACAAACAGGATGTCCTTTTAGCAGGAAAGATAGTTAGATGTCCTAATGAACGCAAAGCAGTTTTTATCAGAAATTCAGATTAACATGAGTCTTTACAACAACTCTGGGAGATCCCATTCAAGATCATAGCTCTGAGACATGGATTAATGAAAGTAAGATTTAGATGGATCTGAACTGTACATCCAAAACAGAAAATGGAGGAGCATTGTAGCAGCTTTTGACAGGATTTTAAAAAGCTAATATCAATATCAAAAACACTAGAGCAGATGTGCTCCAGAAAGATGTTTTTATTTGTGTAGATTTTAATGCAGATCTTATGAAAATAAATCAACATAAACCAAC